ACCTTAATCCCAAAACCAAAAAAAGATTTATCACTTCTTTCAAACTGGCGGCCAATAAGTTTATTGAACGTTGACTATAAAATACTGAGTAAAGTAATTGCTAATAGAATTAAACGTGTACTAAATAACTTGATCGACAATAGCCAAACTGGATTTATTAAAGGCAGATACATTGGTGAAAATATAAGATTGATTTATGATGTAATCGAGTACGCAGAACAAAACGAAAAACCTGGAATATTATTTTTTGCTGATTTTGAAAAAGCTTTTGATAGTTTGAATCATAATTTTATTTTAAAAACACTCGATCTATTTAACTTTTGACCAAATTTAAAAATGTGGGTAAAATTGTTATACAAAAATCCAACAAGTTGTATTCTTTACAATGGTTTCTTGTTGGACTCATTTAATATCAGACAAGGAGTCCGACAAGGCTGTCCTTTATCTCCTTACATTTTTATTTTAGCAATTGAACTCCTCTCCATAGCAATAAGAGAAAATACAAATATTAAAGGATTTAATATATTTGATATAGAAGTAAAAAACAGCATGTTTGCTGATGATGCAACAATATTATTAGATGGTACAAATAACAGTTTCAAAGAAATGTTATATATATTTGAACAATTTTCATTCATCTCGGGTCTAAATCTTAATTATAGTAAATGTACAGCTCTAAGAATAGGCCCACTGCGAAACCAGCACGACCTTATATATTGTAGAAAAAAATATATAGTAATATTTCATGGACATCAGAAAGTGTCAAAACACTAGGAATAACATTTCATTCAAAAACTGACCATATCCTCAAATTAAATTACGATAACAGATTATCTCAATTCCAAATAGACATAAACAGATGGAAAGCTAGACATCTCACAACAATTGGTAATATCTCAGTATTGAAATCATTAATAATTCCAAAATTAACTTTCCTGTTTTCTGTTCTACCCAATCCTCCAAATATAACTGTAAATACAATTAAACAACAATGTTATGAATTTATATGGAGCTCAAAAAGGGATAAAGTCAAACGGGATGTAATAATACAGGAGTACAAAAACGGAGGTCTAAATATGATTGACATTCCTATATTTTTGAACTCAATAAAATCGAACTGGATAAAAAGAATAATAAACGATTCAAATGATGGGTTGTGGAAAGAAATAATAAAGAAAAATATAAATCATTTAGGTGGAATATCTATATTTAAATGCAATATAAACACAAAAGATATATTGAAATTTAAAATCAAAAAATAAATTTATACACGAAGTATTAGTAGCTTGGAGTGAAATCAATTTTAATGAAAATCCGAAAAAATATTTCAGAACAAATTCTTTGGCAAAATTCAAACATAAAAAATAACAATAGCCTTCTCTATTTCAGACAGTGGAGAAACAAAAATATATACCATGTAAAAGATATCTATGATATAGACGCAAAAAAAATTTAAAACTTTTAGTCAATTAAAAACTGAATATAACATTCCTAATACTGAGTTTTTAAATTACCATAGACTTATCTCTTCAATCCCAACATGTTGGAAAAGAAAATTAGATAATGTCATTCTTTCTGTAACAACTGAGGAAATAAATATTTATGAGCTTTTAGAAAAAACAGAAACACATCTCCTAAATAGAAAATTAACACAGGTTCAAAAAAAAGAAAGAAAGCTAAAATACCAGAATGAAAAACTAAAATCCCAGTTAAAATGGGAGGCAGTATTTCCAGAAAAAAAATTTCAATTGGCAACAAATATATTTGAATGCGTTTGATATTTGTAAGGATAATATTTTGCAAAATTTTTATTTTGATTTCCTACATAGAAATATTGCAACTAACAAATTTCTCTTTAGATGTAAATTAGTGGAGTCTAGTCTTTGTGATTTTTGTAATATGGAAATAGATAGCATAGAACATATATTTTGGACCTGTCAACAAACACAAATTTTCTGGAATGAATTGTTTAAATGGTTGGTTGAAATTGGTATACTTGCAACCCAAGACAAATTTTTGTCCTTTTTTTCATTCACGAAACAAAATTTTATCATATATTCTCTTATTTGCCAAATATTATATATATAGTTGTAAAACAAAAAAGAAAATACCAAATAATCTTGTGTTTAAAAGAAAATTGATTGATAGAATATCTTTAGAAAAATACATAGCATTTCAAAATGATTCTCTTGATGATTTCAACAGGAAGTGGAATAACTTTCTAATAATGTTATAAGAACTGATTGATGATATGTCAGAAGTATATTACCAAAACAGCCTTTCTTTCTTAATATTACCATTTTTTTTTTATCTTATCGTAGTTTTTTTTATTCTCTTGCAAATTATCCTTTTATATTATAGCACCTCCCCAAATTGTCAGCATTTTTCCAACTGACTCAAGATTTTTTTTTTTAAAAATTGATTTAACAAAACTCTATCTTGTTTAAAATATAATATCCTTTCTCTTAACTTTTTCTTAAAGAGATTAACGTTTAAGCTCTTTGAAATTATTTTAAAATGTCTACAACAACATATATATTAGTTTGTAACGTATGTTATGTAAAATAATTAATTGAAAAATGTAAAATGAATGTATTATGTAAAAAGGAAAAGTAAATAAAAGGGCCTTAAACGTGGTTCCAAAAAAAAAAAAAAAAAAAAAAAAAAAAAAAAAAAAAAATGAATGAATTATTAAACATAGTCAAAAAATATAGCATTAAAATCATGAATTATTGTAATTTTGCTTTATCATTTATATGAATGCATCTTTTTATTCTGTGAAAAGATCATATCTACGCAATGAATGCTTTGCAACACATATAAAACATAAAATGGAAAAACAAATGAATATCTGTCAATCTCATTATTACTATCTCTTTTAAATCAAATATTTCTCTTGAGAGTTAAGTAATAACATAATAATACATTTATAAAAAATCAGTGGTTTTTCGGGACCTTTCATTTCAATACGTTTTGTTTGAAATGCGAGTTCAAATGGAATAAAATAGATCGACGGACACAAAACGAAGCCCCAACATTAATTAAATCTTGAAAAGGGATGACCTCTCGGAATCAATAAAAACAACAACATTTCGTGAAAATTGCAGTGTAGGTTTGAAAAAGTCGGTTCTGAATGCAACATCTCTCACATCCTCTAAGCTGTATTCAATCTTCATCACTAGCGTCCTTGAATGAATGATCCCGAAGAACCAGAAAAATATAACGACAATGAAGAGGAGCAACTTTTTACATCTTATTATTTAGCCGCACAGTATCGTCGAAACTCCTTTTGTCGCGTCGAACAAAACGAAGCAAATAGATAAATAAATAAATAAAACATAAATAAATAAATAAATCAAACAAAACAAAACGGGAAAGGTCATTATGGGCGTTGTAGGAATGGTCGAATTAATTAATAATTTAAATATTGTACACTGTATTAGCAGGTCATCATCATCTTCAGTAATCGCCTCACATAATCGCGATGAAACTAAGACTATGTACATGCGCAGCAATTGGGTTCCTCTTTACAGTTAAAAGTAGTCTATTTACATCTTCTTAAAAATTGTTGAAAACTGGCAATGTGTTTAGTTGGTGGTAGTGTGTTTCATCAGCGCCCTCCAAGGCTTGGTTGCTCAACAAGTTGTATGGGTAGGCGATTCCGGAGGTTGATGGTGGCCGGGAAGAATCTGTTCTGGTACACAGATTTCCTACATGTGAGCTTGCCGAGTTGTTGTGGGTTGCCTCTTGATGTTCTTGTAGCGGGGGATCTGGTGTGACATTAACAAGGTCATGCTTGATCTTGTAGAGCATGGTGACTCTTGCCATGTCTCGTCTCTTGTGTTGAGTGTTAAAGTGTAGTGAGCTTACCATCTCTGTGGCGCTGCTCTGGCGTGAGTAGTCGTTCTTAACAAACCATGCAGCCCTTCTTTGGACCATCTCTAGTTGGTTAATGTGGCTGACCATACAGAGGAGTCATACTCGACGCTTGGTCGTACGTAGGTGTTGTAGGCTTTGGCTTTGGCATCTGGTGGGTTTAACCGGATGTTTCGGCGCAAGAATGATAGGGTTGAGTTGGCTTTTTTTGTTATGTTGTCGATATGGCATTTCCGAGATAGGTCTGGTGTGATGGTAACTCCAAGATACTTTGACTGGTTGGTTTGTCTGGTATATTTGATATGGAAGACGATGGGGTTCTTCTTAGTGGTAATCCGGATGACCTCACATTTGGCAGCATTGAACTCCATTTGACATTCCTTCTCCCAGACTTGGAGACTTTCAAGGTCATCTTGTAGCGCACGGACTTTATTGTTTAAACATGTGCTCCATTGGCCGACTCAAAAAGCCAAGACTCCAATTTCCGCCCACGCTTGTTTAGCAAGCCTCTAAGAAAAGTCAATTTATTTCAACATCTTTTTGGGCTGTACAGTGCTATTTAAATTTTTACAAATATTTGAACTGATATTTAATGTATAGTTAACAGAAAAAAAACACAAGAAAAAAAAGCAACGAAACTTACAAAAATAAATCACACGCGTGCATGTTTGAAAACACTTTTTGCTACCAGACAGAAACGTGTTAAACGTTTGCAAAAACGTGATTGTCGAAACAAACTTACATAAAATCAACAAATCAATAATTATACATTTTTTTCCAGCGATAATTCAACTTGATGTTTTTATTATTTTATAGATAAAACTGCCCTATCGAATATTGATTTTATTGAAACAAAAATAGAAATTAATTTAGCTCAATTGAATACGCACAATCAAACATAAATAAAACAACTTTAATTTCCCCAACTAATTTCTATCGGTCTTTTTTTATCTCCTCCGCTTTGCCGTTTAATAATTGCTTTTTTGCATGCAGAATTAGGAAAAACTGCTTTTTCCTAATTGACAGAAATCCGCATGGAATTTCTTTATTTTGATTCATCAGTTTGTTAAAAGCTATAGAAGAAAGAGCATGTTAAATAAATATTCTTTTATACATTTTACAGAATGGATTATAAATATCTTCTTGTTTTAAATGCATTGTGTCAATGCCTGGCAGAAAATCCTCGTGAAGCTCTGGAATCGCCTCTAATAGCAGATCTGTTTAAGCACTATGATGTAAAAGTTAGGCCTATATATAACTATTCGGAGTCAGTTTTTGTCACTGTAGGACTTGAACTTAGACAAATTCAAAATTTAGATGAAATTCGACAGTCACTTAAAACAACAGTTAACCTACAATTGTTTTGGAAGGACGAGTTTCTGACTTGGAACGAATCAAATTATCATGGGGTATCTAAGATCATTTTTCCGTACAACAAAAACATTTGGATTCCAGACTTGATGATAATCAATGAACTAAATACACCTGGTATGATTGGATTAAAAGATGCCTTTATAAGGGTATACAGTAATGGGCAAGTTTTTGTGTGGACTCAAATCAACATAGAAACTTATTGTGAAATTTATACAAAGCAATATCCATATGATAAACAAACGTGTGATATTGCCTTTAGTAAATTTATGAGTTCAGACGATATTGTAAAGCTTCAACCCAGGATAAATGGAATTGATTTAAGTTTCTATGCTGAAATAGCAGAGTGGAATCTCAAAGATAACTATGTTACACCAAGATTAATTCAGATCAATGAATCAATAGACTCCTTAAATATTTTGTCTAATTATACACGTGTAACGTTCTCCATTACATTACAACGTTCCTGCAAACTATGCATTCTGACCATAATTCTTCCAGTGATGGTCCTTGCTTCCCTGGACTTGCTTTCATTTTTTGTACCATCTGAAAGCGGTGAGAAGACAAGTTTTCCTTTGTCACTGTTTCTTACATTAGCTGTTTTTCTTACGATAATTACACAGTCATTGCCGGAATCCGTTGATGGAGTTTCTTATCTTGGATCATATGTCGCGTTTCAACTTGCTGCTAGCGGAACAACGCTTATGTCGGCAGTGATTTCTTTGCAGCTTTATCACGGTGTACACAGTTCCACACGCGTGTCGAAACTACTTTCATTTGCTAATTTTCTTGACCAATTTGGAAACCGGACGGCTCTCCGAAAGAAACATGATTCGAAAAGTAAAGTATACGACCTTCACGATATTAAACATGAGAACGAAATTTCAAAAGGGGTAAAGGTAGAAGCTGAAACCAAATTTAAAAACGCTTCAGTACAGTTTGACCGTATAATGTTCATTGTAATTCTATTTTTTCAAATCATTGCTCTTACAATTTTTCTTGCTAGTGTGTTTAATTAATTCTATTTTGTGCATTTGTGAAATAATGTTACCAATTTCGATTGTTTATGTATATTCAGTTGCAAAAGAAAATGTGCAGTTGGTTACATGTTTTGATCAACCAATCTATGGATCAACGCAAGTGTTTGAGACTGCAAAGAACTGACGTAACGGCATATAGACTTGGATTTGAATGTTGTTCCATTCAAAAGTTCAAGTATTCAAAGACAATAGGCTTTACTTACGCTTTTTTCATAATTCATCATCAAATCATGACAAAATAATCAAAAGTAGGCAGCAACTACCATTTAATAGCAGAACACAATGTAGAAAACGTGTTTTAACATGTGCAGTTGAACATTTGCAGTTGAAATACCACAGAAGACTGACTCGAAAATATACCAATGTCAGCCTACAAAAACGTAATCTTTAAATAAGTAAATTGGGAACCAATCAATTTGTTTTCAGGTTCAAATTAAAATCAAACTGTACTTTTCACCATTTAAATTGAGTTGCCATTGGTTTCGAGGAATTAAGATTTGATTTTCAATTTTGAACCAAGCCTTAAAAGTAGCAAATTGTTTCCTGTCGAGAACTAGGATTAGGAATGAGATAATGTAATTAAACTTGATGTATAACAAGCTTATAAGGATAGCTTTGGGCCCTATAAGATCAAGTTCAACGCCACTCTTATTAAAAAAGAATAAAAGGTTTCCAGCCGATAACTAGAGTAAGGAATCATATACTGTAACAATACTTGGTATCTAGCAAATTTATGTGGATACCTCAGTTAGGAAAACTTTTGGGCCCTCCAAGGTAAAAGGTTTCCGGTCCGTTATTAGAGTAAGTAACGTGCTATATAGCACGCTTATGTTAATAATCCACTTAGGAAAGATTGTGAATGGAATGACAGTCGACGTCTAGCTATGCAATTTAATTTTGCGGAAATTGCAATAACTTTGTTACTTTTGGATACATTTCAGCCTCCAATTGCTATTGCTCTCTGTTGAAAACCTAGTTTATTGGCATTGTCTTGATAATTTCACAGACTTAAACCTTATTTTTACCCACGTGTTATTCATACCCCTTACGAACAGTTTGTTTAATTACCTTTATTGATAGGAGCTTACAGTTAATCCAAAGTCCAGGAAGTACTTCAACGTATTAACAGACTCGGCAAACTTACTCCACTCAAAATTGCGGTGTACTGAAAAACAAGCGGACGGCATTTCCGAGATAGAGCGGAAGTTGGAATTAATCGAAATATCTGATAAAATGCAACTTCTCACATAAATTTACAGGGATTATCTATTATTTATTTCCTCAAATTCTGTCAGTTCCCGTATTTGATTCATTTAAATGTACAAGGGACTTAAATATTTTCGAAATCAATACTTAAACCTAATAAAGTGGTATTCAGTATTGTTTTATTGAGAACACCCGAAACTGACTTTATAATCTGAATACTACTTTACTGAAAAGATGAGCGTTAGGCAATTATATGAGATTTTCGAAATGAAATTTAGTGAAAGTTTGATTTGAATAGGGCCAAAGTAATTTTTTTTTTTTTGGGTTTTAACCCCTTAAGAATTTATTTTACAAATTTACAAAGCGTTCCGTGAAGGATCGATGAAGGCTTCCAATGAACTGCTATTGCGAAAAGAAAATTAAACACGAGAAAACTTTTTCCCATAACGAAGTGAACGACGATTTTTTGAATATTGAACTTCAAAATCATGAAAATGATATACCGGTATCTTTCGAATTTATTAAAAAAGTGTAAAGAAATACATATAATATTATGCGTCATATTAATATACAATGCATTAAGGCGACTCCATCCAACCAACCAACCAACCAACCAACCAACCAACCAACATACCAACCAACCAACAAATTTAATATTAAACGACAAAAAAAGTTTTAGTCAAGATTTACCTTTTTGTGAAGTAGATGACTTGAATCAGATTCGATTTCTGTTGACCGGGTGCAATATATATTTCAATTTACCGTTCCTTTTCATTAAAAATAGTATAATTTTATATGACCGTGAAGTACGCGGGCTAACGGGCTAGCAGTCTAGCGGGCTAACAGTGTGAAATGAGCGGGTTAGCAGTCTAGCTGACAAGCAGTGTGAACCGGGCGGGCTAGCAGTCTCGCGGGCTAACAGTGTGAACTGGGCTGGCTAGCAGTCTAGCGGTCTAAAC